AGGCAATAGGGGATCCACTTACCACGGGGAAATGATGAAGGAAATGACATAATCAGGGCATAGTGAGAGGCCAGCACAGGGACAAAGGACAAATAGCCTGAGCACTGTACCTTTCATTCATTAAAAGCCCGACTGGTGTTTCCTTTGGAGCCAGTCAGGGACTCACATGCAGTGTTGGCCCACAGCCGTGACGCCGCAGGCTGCACATGCCCGGGAGAGAACTCCCAGTGGAACACAGCTCAGCCCTCACTCTGTAACACACTGGGTCGGATTCTCGCCTCTGCACGGACACGTCAGTCACCCTAAAAGCTGGCAGAATGAGCTTTACTCATGTAGCCTGACTCACCCACTTCAAGTTGGAAAACACCAAGAGGACAGTCACTAAGTAATTTTCAGGACTCCTGGGGACATCTGGTTGTCAGCTTTACAGTGTCCTGTTCTGGCCCTGCCTTGGAGTGACGCTGAAACGTTTCCGCCGTTGTCCTAACCTGGCCCTGAAAGCAGAGCCCCCCGGGCCGGAGACGGCCCCACGAAGGAGCAGTGCTCTCATCCTGCAACCTCCAGGCTGTGAGCCCAGGACTGGCCACCTCAGCAGAGCCCTAGGAGCTGGCCTGCTCTCGTGGGGGACCCATCTGAACCCCACATCACAGTGTGTGCCCTCAGCCACTGAGCCCAGCCCTTTCCCTGTCACTTTCCTTGTTAGGGGACTGGCTTGACCACTGTCAGAGCTCTGGTTCCCTTTTTTCTTTTCTTTTCTTTTTTTTTGGTACTGGGGATCGAACTCGGGACCTTGTGCTTGTGAGGCAGGTGGCAGAACCACTGAGCTAAATCCCCAGCTCCCCCCCTTTATTTTCTTGAGGGCTGGAATTGCAGGTGTGTGCCACTGTGTCCAGCTTACTATTTTCTCTTACTTTTAATTACAATTTTTCCAGTTAATTTGTGCTTTAGTTTTAATTTCCACTATCATTAAAGCAGAGGGAGGGGAATTCAGATTCATTTATAGATTTGGGGTTTCCTGGCAGATTATGACTCTCCACAGGAGGCTTTGGTCATGAATTTAAAGTGAAGGCAGCCCAGGACCTCCCACCGCCTGTGTGCCCCTTCCCATGGGAAAGATTTTCTTCAAGCCTCCGTGAGTGGTGCCACCTCCCCTGCACTGCCCTTTTGTGGGAGGCTGTGGATGGTGGCCCGGAATCCCCAGGAGGTAGCTGGCATTCCTGTCCATAAGGAGGAAGGAAACCTGGCTTCCGCTCACAGGCCCTCCCTGGGAGAGCAGGCCTCTAAGCTCTGAAGACATCGAACAGGCAATCAGCATAGTGCTCTGGGGATGGCATCCCCACCCACCGCTGAAAGTGGCACTGCAGGCCAGAGGCTGCTAGGAGCCGGAGGGCAGAGTTGCAGTTCCAGTGAAACAGACGGGGAGTCCTACCTTGTAGGTGTTGTAGGATTAAAGGAAGGGTCTCGCCAAGCAGGCAGAGGTAGCTCAGCAGATGGCACCTGTTGTCATTGTTCTAACTGCCCTTGCCCCGCTTCACATTAAGAAACAGGCTCCTGGGCCAGAGATTTAGCTCAGTGGTTCCGCCGCCTGCCTCGCAAGTGCAAGAGTTCGATCCCCAGTACCAAAAAAGAAACAGCCTCCAAGGGGACGGGGAGGACAGGGGCCAAGCCTTTCCGCCTGTCGTCGGGAGGCTTTGGAGATGTGTCTGGCCGCTTGGAAGGGCGAGTGGGTTTCAGATGTTAAGTACTGAGAGTTATCTAAGATGTTACACCTTTTGACTCTGCACTTCTGCTTCTAGTGATTTAGCCGGCAGCAACATTTGCACAGGGGAATGACAGCTCTGAGTCTGAGACTGCTCACAGTAGCACCATTCTCCATATTGAAAGGCTGAGGGGACCACAGAGAAACTGTTAACTAAATAAAGGTGTATCCCAGGACTGCAGAGCTCCCGATGTGCCAGTGCCACTGAACCCCCGTGCTAACAGATGCCCAAAGCCCCAGCACAGCTTCCAGCAGCATTCAGCTCCCTGTCACAATGCTGAAGGACTTACTGCTTGTTCAGATGACGTGACATGCTGTGGCTAGAACGCCTCTCCCAAAGGTCGTGTGTTGAAAGCTATGATGAGTATTCTGAGAGGTGAGGCTGTGAGGAGGGGACAGGTCACGAGGGCGCCGTCCTCATGAGTGAATTAATCCATTCGTGGACGGCTGGGTTATCACAGCAGTGGCTGTTGCAAAGCTGATCTCTCCTGCAGACCTCTGCCACCGCTCAACTCCATGACCCGGCAGGAAAGCCTTTCCAGGAGGCTCGCCACATGCCGGTACCCTGCTCTCGGACTTCCTGGCCTCCAGAACCATGCACTAGGTAAACCTCTACCTTGAGTGGGGGGACTAATTCAAGATTTAACCCGGGGAGTGCTAAGGTACACACCTAGCCCTTTTCATTTTATTTATTTATTGAGACAGAGTCTTACTAAGTTGCTGAGACTGGCCTCAAACTTGTAATCCTCCTGCCTCAGCCTTCCAAGTAGCTGAGATGACAGGCCAGTGCCACCACACATGGCTAAACTTTGGTTCTTTATACATTACCCAATCTGTGGTATGCAGTTATAGCCACAGAAAATGGACTTCGACACCCAGTGATGGGCTCCTGACCTCTCCAAGCATTTTCTAAGTAAGGGCTTGCAAAGAAGACTCTTTCCTGTCTCTGAGATGTGTGGCTATCTCCTACAACTCAGGACTGTATCTCTCAAGGACCTGAAGGCCATTCCCTTGAAATGTTTTCCCCAAGAAATCTCTGTGGGAGGACACAGTCCTCACTTTCATCATTGCAGCTGGCAGACACAGCTGGTCTAATCACTCTGACACTGACCAGCTCTGCCATTTGTCACCACACACACATTCTCCCACTAAAGTGCTCAGTCAACCCTATGTGAATCAGAACAGAATTTGGCTCTTTCCTGTCAGGAATTACTTAATAAAATGTTCCCCAACTGTCATGTCCTGCTCTGTTTATCTTTGACACTCCGTAGAGTGCAATCCTGTGTGGCCTTTGGAAAAGGAAGTGCTATGTGAAAAGCACTGAGAGTGGGAAGTGGTACTGGGTGACGGGACCTTCTGACGAGACGTAGACACACGACTGGGCCAAATGTCATGAGCAGAGCTTCACTGGGGGAAGGGAGTCAGTATTTGGTTCCAAGGGTGACCAGGCACTGCTCACAGAGCAAAGAACAGCAGGTTTCTGCTGGTTTGCTAGGGTCGTCCAGTGACTTCCACTGGTCAGGGGCACAGTTCCAAAAGATATTTCTTGTGATAGACAAGGACCACTGGGTGGTCATAGTCAGCTTGATTTAGAGGTGTGGAATTTTCCTATAGCTGGTGCCGTCATCCACACAAAATATCCCCTTGTGCTGTGGGCCCTGTCATGGGGCTGAAGGACGACATGAACTTGGGCTTTCCAGGTTTCTGAAGGTAAAGAGTGGAAGGAGAATCAAATATATAGCAGCTGCAGTAGGCAACCAGCCAGGTTAAGCCTGCATTACAGCCTTAGCCAAAACACTTCAAATGATCGACATGTCTAGGTACAGGGCTAGGGAGTCTGGCCGAAGGGTAGACACGGTAAGAAGGCACCGATGCCTTTTATCCCATTTGCATCACCCACTGGGTTTCTGTAAGCCCAAGTGAAGAGGCAGTGTTTTCAGCAAAAACGGCCATCGGTCCCTAGGAGGTAACCCAAGCAAAACTGTTCCCATAACCCACACGACAGAGGTGTCACATAGCAAGGCTAGCAGAACGCATGCAGAGTAGTGCCCGGCAGTGTGGCCGCCAATCAGTGATCTCTGAGCTGAGAGACAGTGAAGCTAGAGGTTTTCCTTAGTAGCAATTTTTTTTCTTTTTTTTTCCCCCAGTACCAGGGATCAAACTCAGGACCCTGTGCTTGCCAGGCAGGTGTACCACCACTGAGCTACATCCTGGCCTGACAGCAATTTCTTGATTCTTGCAAACATTCTGCTTCTGTGGTTCTATCAGTGTCTCATGACGAGTCCGTTGGACACAACCTGCTGCACAGGGTAGTGCAGGGCATGAGTCCAGGGTTTATTTTGTCATCCCACCCCTCCATCCCACCACTGTCCCCCATGGAGGCCCCCATCTCAACAGAGCCTGGAACATAATAGTGTATTCACTATGGTTATTAACATTTCTCATCTGCTAGAAAAATGCATTATGGATTTATACATACATGAGAATTCATTGAGCTGCAAGCTTCAGATTAGCCTGTTTTATGACTTTTCCTGTTCAATAAAAGTGTTTCTCAGATGCAGAATGGATTGAAACTGTATGTGCTCACAGTGAAAGCTGTCTGAGATGTGCCCAGTTGTGACCACTGTAAAAACAGGAAGGCCTCTCTCTGGCTTACTACATTGCTCAAAATTTTAAAAGAACAACCAGTTTAAATAATATTTTTCTTGGGCCGGGGATTTAGTTCAATGGTTCTGGTGCCTGCTTCCCAAGCACAAGGTCCCAAGTTTGATCCCTGGTACCAAAAATATATACATTTTTTTTTCTTCTAATCTTGTCAGTTCCCCCAACACTGATACTAGCCAGCCTCTGAGTCCCACTGCAGAGGCAGAACCAGTTTGTGTATTTTTCTGGAGATTATTTAAGTAAATGCTTATTTTTATTTTCAGGGTTGCAGTTCTGATTGTGATATCCCCTAAAATCCAAAAACAGCCTCACTTAGCATTGTTAGTATTACTGTCCACAGATTACAGAGGTAATACCTGAGACCTAGAGAGCTGGCTGGCCATCCATGGTCACACAGCAGGCAGGCAAGGGCCTGAACCTTAAAAACAACAATCTCAAAGCTGGGCGAGATGGCACACAACTCTAATCCCAGCTATTTGAGGGGCTGAAACAGAATTCCAAGTTCGAGGACAGCCTGGCAACTTAGATCCATCTCACTAAATCATAAATAAATACTATCCTGACCTGGGCAGGCTCCGGGCCATGCTCCTCCCCAGACATCTTTCTCCCTGGTGACCCATTCAGTGTTCCTTCTCCCACTCACTCATGTCTGCCCACTACCATCATCTTTCTCTCCCCTTGTTTAACTACCTGTGAATCACCTACTTGAACTGTTACTAAATGTGAACTGGAGGTAGAAAGACCTTGAAGATGACTGCAATCCCCACCCTTTACCAAAGGGCAAAGTGAGGCCTGAAAGGCTCCTGCACACCTTCGTTATTTTACACTCACTCTTCCTGGCCTTGCGCCCCTGACATGATCCAGGCCAGCCAGGGATCTTCCAAAAACACCCATCTATCCGCCCATGATCCCGCCTGGCAACCCATCAAAGCGCGGGCATTGTTTCCTTCTCTGCGTCCTCCTGAGGTGCAGTAGAAACGGAGGGCCTCTCCTCTGTGACAGGCTCCATCTCACCCAAGAGCCTTTCAACACTAATCCACCCCTTGCCCATACCTGGCTCTGGGCTTCTCATCTTTGCGTCTCAAATCTCTCAGGTTCGGGATCCTACAGTGCTTGCAGCTTCTGCCTCATCACCAACCTGCCTCCCCTCCTAGACGATGAGCTCGGTGGACAGTGCCTCGACTGATCTGTTCACCACTGTGCTCACAGCCAACGTTTGATAAGGAATAAGGAGAAAAATGCTCAGAGAAGCCCATGATCCCAGCAGGGAGGTGTGCAATCAAGTGGTGTGAAGACAGGCAGTGGCACAAACCTATAATCCTAGCTACTCAGGTGCCTGTGGCAGGAGGATCTCAAGTTCAAGGCCGGCCTGGGTAACTTATCAAGGCCTTGTCTGAAAAGAAAATTTGTTAAAAGGCTCGGCGTGTCGCTGTTGTACAGCATTTCCCTAGCATATGCGAGATCCTAGGGTTCAATCCACACCAGAAAGAAAAAAAGGAAAAGAATGAAGTTCTGTGCAGGTAATTGCAAGTATTTTTGTAGGAAAAGGTTGAGATGTGCGTAGAAACAAAAACTAAAGTTAGGGTATTCGCTGCCTGATCAGGCCGTGCAGTCTGCCCCTGCGGCCCGCGCAGGTCCTCAGTGCAGGTCCCAGGATGGTGCTCGGCCACGTGCACAGCGCAGACCACGGAGCCCACGCGGCCGGTGAACAGCGTGCAGCCTGAAGGGGGGCCCAGCCCGGCTTCAGTACGCCTAGCCAAGCCGGACCGATAAAAATCAGCGCGGCCCAGGCCGTGACACGAAGAGCCGAAGGCTTCAAAAGAGGCCTTAGATGCAGGGACAGGGGAACGACGGGAAATAACCTAGGCCCACGTCAGGAACTCGGTCCAATTCCCCAGATTAACCGAGAGCCAAACAACATTGCCGGGTGACAAGCGCCCTAACCTCTGGCTGCCTAGAAAGATGACGTAAGGCGCGTGCCCCGCCAATCGCGGAGTGCTCCGGCCCCGCCCGGTGCATTGTGGAGCTTAGAGACCCACACTGGGTCTCGCGAGAGAGCCAGACGGGAATCACGGAGACAAAGGCCGACAGAGATGTCGCCTTCCCTTCTCAGAGTAGGCGGTCCTGGCGGGAGTGCACCAATCACAACGCCTCTTCTTCCCGCCCGTGGGGAATTGGTCCAGGGCTCACGTGAGTCGGCTGAGAGTCATGTGATGGCGCTGCCCCAGAGTCTGTAATGAAGCCGGTGGCTTGCGGTAAAACCCGGATTTGAAGAAGCCGCGAGCTTCCAGAGGGCAGGGCGCGTTCGGTCCCTTGCCTAGGAAAGGACCCGACGAATGTGTCACGCGACTTCCCCTCGGACGCAGAGACGCTCCAAACGCTATTCAGGGTTGGGTCGCTGAGCCCGGCAGAGCCCCTGCCTAGGCTGCCTTCGGCCCTGTCGTACCTGGGGGGAGGGTAGGCCCGTGTCCGCTCGGTGTGGCCGCCTTGTTACCTCTGCGACAGCGGTGAGGGCTCACAGGTGACTGCGGGGCCCCAGCCGAGGAGAGACGGTGGGGACGCACAGCCTGGAAGTGGGGAATCGGGTGGACCAGCACCTTCTGAAGCCAGGTGGCGCCCACTTCCGTGCACAGCGAGTCACTGTTTCCTACGCAAGCTTTGGTGGCCCTGGACGACCACCCCTGTGCGTCCCAGGCTCCCATGCCCCGTCGGCAGAAATGCCAGGCCCCTTAAGCTTCTTGCACCAGAGCCAGCAAAAGAAGTGCAGGAGAGAGGAATCAGGAAGCCATAAGCGTGGGAGGAAGAGAAATGGGCCCGGGCCTAAAAAGAAATGGCTGTCCACATTAGATAAAAGAGGCAGAAATCCCTGCCTTCACAGAACCTGCCTTTAGTGTCTGGAGATGAGAAGCAAGATGAATAAAACCCACTCTTGGGCCAAGGAGGTAGATCAGTGGTAGGGCACTTGCCTGATATTCGCAGGGCCCTGGGTTCAATCTCTAGTGCCAAGGAAATCAAAACAAAAACCCTGTAATATCTTGGAACGTAGTGGTACAGAGAAAAACTAAACCTAGGGACCTGTAGGAAGGGTGTGAGGATGGGTGTCCTTTATGTAGGGCCTTCTTATGGGGCTGGGGATGGAGGTCAGTCGTACAGTGTCTGCCTAGCAAGTACGAGACCCTAGGCTCGATCCCAGTACTGCCAAAAAAAGAACAGAGGTGAGGGACAGTACTGCCAGCAGAGGGCGTGGCAGGTGCCCAGGGCCCTGGGCTGGGAAAGACCTGCAGGGCAGTGAGCGTGGGCGATGCTAGCGGGTTGCCACCAAAGGAGGCCATGGCAGGGTCCGCAAAGGGGCGTGGTCAGCCCTACTTGGTAACCGGCACCGTGTGCTGTTGGCCAGAGCACTGAGGACAGTGAGTGGACCACTTCGATCATGCACTTAGGAGGTGAGGGTAACCTGAACCCCAGTGGTGGCCGTGCAGAGAGAAGCAGTCAGATCGCAGAGGCATCCTGAAGGGAGGATTACAGAGCTGTCTGGTTGGCTGGAAGCCTGTCTTCCCCTTCGTAGGGTCACCTCCACCTCATTTCCGCTTCAAGCATCCAGTCCACAGAGGGACAAGAGCTCAATCTCAGCCCATCTGGGATCCCCTGCAGTGGCTGCTGCCATGTCATGGGGGGTGGGGAATCTGGTCCCCTGTACTCCTGTCACCTATGCTGGCACCCGCAGAGTCTGACCTCAGCACACACAGCATGTCCTGCTGAAATGGCACTGGAGGGCAGGCAGACCAAGGAAGAGAGCGGCACTCAGAGAACTGAAGGGTAAGCAGGTTTATTATTGCGAACAGGCCCAGCGAAGTCCCCTTCCAGGGCCTGAACCCCTTTTCTACATTTGTCCTCATATTTATCTGTTCTTCAGCCAGGGGAGGGGAGCAAGCAGGAATTTACAGGAGCAGAACTTAGCACAAGGCAGGGAGGTGGAGGTGACATTACTTTTTTAACTTTTCTTACAGTTTATCTTAAAGACATAGGGAGATAGGGAGGTACAGGCTGGTGTTGTCTCAGCAATTCATCTGGGCACCGTGACCTTTGTGGGTCTAGCAAGAGGGCCGAGCCTTGAGACCCATCAGCCTCGAGACTCAGCCTCTCTCCAGCCTTGAGACCATCGGCCTCTGGTTTGTCCTTTGTTCCTTTCCATTTCACAGCTTCACATCTGTCTGAGCCCGCTTTGGAGGCAAGCAACTACCCCGCTGCTCTGAAATTGCCAGGTGGTCTCCTCGCCAACAGCCCCCGGACACCCCCCAGCCTCCCCTCCGCCACCTTTGTCTAGGCCAGGCAGCAGCTGGCAGCCAGCTCCTTGCCTTGATGCTGCCCTCCACAGCCTGGGGGAGCCTGGCTCGACACAGCCCCTCATCCCTCCATGTTTTGTAAGGCTCAGCTCTTGGAGCTTAGAGGCTACCACACAGGTGAGGCGGTCCGTGGGGTGAAGGTTCAGCAGGGTGTGTTTGGGGGGTGGACGGGGGGTGGACACACACCCCTTTGCCTCCTGGGACGGCGTGTGCTCAGAAGTGAGACATTCCCATCTGCCAGAGACCCCTGAAGGAAGTCCGTCCCCACCTGATGACGCAGGCCTGAGAATAAAATACACTGGGAGACAGAACTAGGAGAGAGTGGGGCCAGGATGCCCAAGGCCGGTGCAACCGGAACGGCCCTGGCCGGTCCCAGGCACTGACTCTTATTGGCAAGCAATTGGGGTAAAGGTGAGCTACGTGCATTTTCTGTGGAAATTCATGTAAACAAGGCTCAGAAAGGAAAAGCCAAAGCATTCTTGAATTAGGAACAGAATAGACAAAATATTGGTTGTAATTAGAACATCGTCCATCTAGTCAGAAGGTCTTAGTTGTGGGAATGGAGTTTGGGTGCAAGTTACTCTGACCTGGGCACGTAGGCTTCGGCCAGACTCACTTCTATAAACAAGCCAGTCGTGGGTTTCACTCTTCACAGCCTACCTTGGGCATGATCAGTATTACGTCCTCTGCACCCATGGCTCAGAGTCACCTCTGGAAGGTCAAATGCGAGGAGTGGACTTGTTTCTTTGCTGACAGCCCTTCCGAAGGCTGCATGGATGAATGGTGGTTTCAAGGGGAAATCATGCTGGTTGATAACCGGCCCCCCGATTTGGGGTGTTTTGTAATGTTTTTGGTTTGGTTTGGCTTTTGGAGACAAGGTCTCACTATGTGGCTCAGGCTGGCCTTGAACTCACTCTAGAAGGCTGAGGCAGGAGGATCGCAAGTTACAGTCCTGCCTGGGCAACTCAGCAGGGCAGCTGGCGGTAAAGGAGAGTTATTGTTTGATAGGTGGAGAATTTTCATTTGGGAGGATAAAAACTAGAAATGGACAGTGGTGCTGGTAGCACAACTCTACAGTTATCCTTATGCTGCAGAATTACACATTTTTTAAAATGACTAAAATGGTTAAAAAAAAAAAAGATAAATCATATGTATAGTTTACCATAATTTTTTTAAAGCTGAAATAAGCAGTTTAAGCAAGACTTCTACTTTTTGCATTTCAATGAAGAAATCTTTACTTAAAAACAAAACAGGCGAGTGTGGTGGTGCAGGCCTGTGGAGGCTGAGGCAGGAGGATCACCATGAGTTTGAGGACAGCCTGGGCTACATAGTGAGTTCAAGGCCAGACTGAACTATACAGCAAGACCCTGTCTCCAAAAACCAGATAGATACAGGTTAGATGATAGATAGACAGATGCTAGATCAGATGAGAAAGTGACTCAGCAGGGCTGGGCTGCAGCTCAGGTAGAGCACTGCCCTAGCAGATGTGAGACCCTGGCTCCATCCCTAGCACAGCAGAAAGTAGAAAGGGAAACTCCACTAACAGCCCGTGTTTATTAAACCCATGCAGCGCTGTGCTGAGCGGGCACTGTCCGCAGACCTCAAGCCCCACAGGCTCTGCCACTAAAGCACTGGCACCAGACGGCTCTTCAGATTTGTGCCTGGCCCCAGCCCCAGAGTCACAGCCTCGGAGGCAGGGGAGCCCTGCAGTGAGGACCTCGGTGGCCCCAAGCTCATCTGCCCTCAGCAGCCGGTTTCCAGTGCAGGCCGCACCAGCTAGACACCAGGCCATGATTTCACATGGGGAACAGAGTGCAGAGAAGTCAAATAGGTGAGCCCCATCCCCTGTCCAGTCGGCTTGGAAAATAGACACTAAGATGTTTTAGCAGCGGGGCCCAGTTGCACAGGCACTCTGGGAGGCTGAGGCAGGAGGGTCACAAGTTCCAGCTCAGCCTGGGCAACTTAGCAAGACCCTGCCTCAAAAAATACAAGAGGGAGCCAGGGATTTAGCTCAGTGGTTCCACCCCCTGCTCTGCAGATGCAAGGACCCAAGTTCAATCCCTGGTACCAAAAATAAATAAATAATTTTTAAAAAATAAATAAATTTTTAAAATATAAGAGGGGGCTGGGGATTTAGCTCAGTGGTTTTGGCACCTGCCCCAAAAGTGCAAGGTCCTGAGTTCAATCCCCGGTACAAAAAAAAAAAAAATACAAGAGGGGCTGAGGACGTAGCTAAGTATGAAAACCCTGGTTTCTCTCTCCAGTACTGAAAAGTTTTAGTGTAAAGAAGTAGCAGAGTGAGGGCTGGTTGGCAGCTCCAGGGATTCTGTGGGTTCCACTGTGACGAATGAACTAGTGACGGACTTTCTGATGAGCCCTTGATGTCCTGTCACCTGTAGGGGAATTAGGATTTTGTCTTGCCAGTAAAACCACCTGTGTCCCCTGTTGACCTCTAACTGCGCAGAGACTGCACAATAATGAGAGGTAGTTGGGGACCGGTGGGCAGCAGAGGAGGGCCTCATAAATTACCCTGAACCTGCAGCCCTGGGCTGCCAGCCTTAACAAGGCGGCCACTGCCCAAGGGCGGCCCCCGGCTGCTGGGCTTGAGCCTTCAGAGACCAGGCCTCAGTACCAGGCAGCCCTGTGCCTGGCTGTGGCACTGCAGGATTCCTTGCATGGAGCCCTGGCCTTCCCTGACCCGCTGTGCCCAGTGTGACAGCAGTGACTCGACTCTGACAGCTTCCACACAGTGAGCGCCACCACTCCTGAGGCGTACATCTGGCAAGACACAGCCTGTGCCTGTCCACGCAGCCCACCCCCCGGAAGTGTCCAGGCACCCTGTCAAGCATGTGTTCTTTGGAGTGAAGCAGGGAGTCTTTCTTCGAATGAACGCTTGTCTTTTAACCTTCAGGGCAGATTTTCAGGTGGACAGGTGGCCTAGCAACTCAGGCCCTTCTAGCTTTTCCCCAGGCTTCACTCTGAGGAGAGGCTGCCTGCCACCTCCCTTTCCAGGAAGAGAGGGCTGTGGAATCACAGTAGTAGCTGGGCATGGTGGCACACACATGTAATCCCAGCACTTGGGAGGCTGAGGCAAGAGGTTCCGGGCAAGTTCAAGGCCTGCCTGAGCCACATAGTGGGACCTTGTCTCAAAAACCAAACCTGGCCTGGGGGTGTAGCTCAGTGGCACTGTGCCTGCTTGGCAGCACAAGGTCCTGAGTTCTATCCCCGGTACTGGAAAAAAAAAGATAAAATAAAAGAATCACAGCAGGGCCCCCTTATCCATGGAAGAGACTTTCCAAGACCTCCAATGGACCCCTGAACCCACAAATAGTCCCGAACCCTATATGTACTGTGTTCTTTGCTCTACTTGGCATATGATGAAGTTGTTTTTTTGTTTTTTGGTATGGGGGATCAAACTCGGGACCTTGAGCTTGCGAAGCAGGCAGTGGTACCACTGAGCTAAATCCCTGGCTCATATGATGAAGTTTAAGTTGAAATCAGGCACAGTAAGACAATTGTAAGTTGACAATTTACCATAGATATCAGCGATCAGCATGTTTTTTCTTTCCTTATTGTGTTGAGAGCTTTTGCCTGCTCCCTCACGTCTAGCTTCCCAAATGCAGCTCTGAGTTGTGGCGTTGCTGCACTTGTAAGCTTGTACTTGGGGCCGTCGTGCAGTAAAATGCAGTCAAAAGCTCTAAAATGCAGTCAAAGCTCTGTGCCACCCTGGAGAGGGGTTGCTGTGGACAGCCGGGCTCCACCCAGGGCTGCTCAGCGTCCAGGGCAGGGGGCAGCTGCCCTGCAGTTATGCAGCTTGGCCAGTGGGTGGCACACGGCCCCTCAGCACCCTGAGAGGCCCAAGGGTGCGGGTGCGGGTGGATGCTTGGCCCACAGCCTAGGCGCCAGCAGCTCCCTCTGCGTCTCCTCTGCCAGCCCGGGTTCAGCCCCACCCCACGATGGCACAGCTGGCATCGCCCAGGGCTTCACAGTTCCGCGCCCTCCCCAGGCAGGGCAAGCACGGCAGGGCCCGCCTAGCACCTGGCACACGGGCGCCCTTGTCGGCCGCTCTGGGTGCCCCTCTGCGTCCAGGGTGCTCTGCACCCCTCGGCTCACTGGGAGACCCTTGGGTGCTTTTTTTGAGGGGTACTAGAAATTGAGCCTAGGGCCTTCTCAGTGAGCTATATCCCCAGCCCTATTTATTTATATTTATGTATTTTTCTTTTTTTCCAGTACTGGAGATCGAACTCAGGACCTTGCACATGTGAGGTAGGCATGCGCCACTGTAGCGCTGCGGGGTGGCCTGCCTCCCCCTGTGGGGAGATTTGCATCCTGGTCCCATTTACGTCATTCTCGGCCCCGTGAGAAAACAGGCAAGTGACACGCATCACCTTTAAGCAGAAGCCCAAGGGCAATCAAGGCTCTGCACGGCCCAGCTCCGGCGACCACAGCAAAGCTCCAGCCCGCCCTTCAGGAAGATGCAGCGGCCCAAACAGTGCCCCCTCCAGTCAGGGCCGCTGAACCAGAGCTGCGGGGTCTCCGCAGGGCGACCTCGCCTGCACCCCGAGGCAGTGACCTTTGTGTTCTGCCAGGTGGGGGCTGGAGTTTGCAGCACTCGGTTCTGCCACTTAGGGTGCAAACATGGCATCGGAACCTCCGCCTGGCCGCGACACGTGGCGTGCGAAGAGGACACAGGGCAGAACGCAGCGGCGAAGGAGGCCGGATCCACCCAAAAGTGCGGGACTCAGGTAGAGCTGGCACCCCTGAGGGCGTGGTCTTGAGGCCACAGTGAAATCCTGCTGTCCACACCTGTGGTTCCGCAGCCACCACCAGAGACCCCTGGGCTGAGGCTGAGTTTGCAGCCCCTCTCATTCCGCGAGACCGCAGTAGAGAAGGAAGTGCAGGGCACACCTCCAGGCACCGCCATTGGCACTAGAGCGCTCACAGAGGTACTGGCAAGTTCTCTTCTCTGTCCCCCTCAGACACAGCTTTGGCCCTTCTTTTTATGAAGAACACAATGAGTAACACACACACACATGCACACACGAGCACGTGTGTGTGTAGTAGGGGGACTGAACCCAGGGCCTGTGCACTAAGCTGCCTCAGACTCCTAGCGTGTGGGGTTAGAGGTGTGTGGCACCACACCTGGCACATCTGTCACTCTAATCTGTCTGAAGTGGTCGACCCGACGGCCCCAGGAAGTCTTGGGCGGCTCCATCTCCTGGCAGAGGGAGCCCTGTCTTCCGCCTTTACACAGCGAGGACTCGGCATGGTGGGAGGGCCTGGTGGAGGAGAGCTGCTCACATCTTGGTGACCAGGAAGCAGAGAAGGGAGCACTGGGACAGCGTCACCACTCTCCTAGGGCTGCCACAGCAGAGGACCGTGAACTCTGTGGCTGAGACTCGGGGAGCAGCCTCTCCCCAGCCTCCTCCTAGCTGCCAGGAATCCGGGGGCGAGACAGAACCTTCTGGACCCAAGAGAGAGCCTGCCCTGTGCCTCTCCTTATGGGCACCTGATGGCTCCTGGCCACATGTGGCCTCCTTGGCTGGTGGACGCATTTCCCCTGTCTCTGTCTGTTGTCACAAGGCCTTCTTCCCGTGGACATTTATGTGTCTGGGTCCAGATTTCCCTCTTCTTTTTGGTGTTTTGAGGCAGGTCTCACCATGTAGGCCAGGCTGGCCTTGAACTCACAGAGATCCTATTGGATTTAGGGCTCATCCTAATTCAGAGTGGTCTCAACTCGGTTTCATCCACAAAGACTTAATTTCCCAATAAGGCCACATTCACAGACCTGGCAGGCCTTCAGCATGTTTTGAGGGAAGAAAATTTGTTTCATGGTAAGTGTCCTCCCAAACCTCCAGAAGCCCCGAGGTGACACTTCACGAGCCTTGTCCTTGTGTTGCCTCCTCTCAGAGTCCTGAGGAAAAGATGGCATGCACTGTGGCTGCCATTTCAGTCGGAATGAGGTTGTCATAGATTTATTGTAGCTCACAGGTCTGAGGCTTCAGGTCCTAGGGAGAAGCGTATTATCCAGGGAGAAGGAGGGATGTGTATAGGCCCCCTCCCAGGCCACACCTCAGTGACGCCTCTCCCCAGGGCTCCACCTCCCAGCATCACACCCAGCTGTGCACCCATCAGTGGACTCATGCAGTCCCGCACACCCAGGGTCCAGTTGGCTTCCAGAAGTCCCACCTAGGAGCCCGTGAGGCTCTGGGGGACAGTGTTACAGCTTCTGTCTAGACGTGCCCCAAAGTCTCATGAGCTCCTAGGTGGGGTTCTTCAGAGGTGGCTGGACGGGGAGAGTGTGTGAGGCGCAATGCTAGGATTGAGGGTGTGAGTGCTCTGCCCTAAGGGCAAGTGTCCTAGATAGAATGTAAAAGGGACCAGAAGGAAGCTGCTCTTGCGCCCTTGTTGCTCTGCCTTCTGCCTGCTATGAACTGTTTTTGTTGTTTTTTTGGGTTTTGGGGGGTTTTTTTGGTACCGGGGATCGAACTCGGGACCTTGTGCTTTCGAGCCAGGCGCCAGAACCACTGAGCTAAATCCGTGGCCCATTTGTTGTTATTTTTTGAGACAGGGTCTCACTATGTAGTTCAGGCTGCCCTTGAACTCACTATGTAGCTCAGGCTGTCCTGGAACTCACAGTAATCCTCCTGCCTCAGCCTCCCTAGTACTGGGATTACAGGGCTGCACCACCGTGCCCAGCTTGCCATGAGCTGTTCCTCCTCTGCCATGCCCCTCTGCCATGCCACCCAGCCTTGGAGCCAGCCAGGTATGAACTAAAACCCCTACAGACTGAGGCAAATAAACCTTTCCTCCTTTAACTTTGGGTGTCAAGTATTTTGTCTCAGCAACAAGAAAGGTAACTAAGACAGACACCTAGATATAAACCATAACAGGAGAGGAGGTTTATTGTGGCTCATGGTTTCAGAGGGTTCAGTATATGGTTAGCTGGCTTCAGGCAGAAGCAGCACGGTGGAGGGGTCTGGCAGAGGAGAGCTGCTCACGTCATGGTGACCAGGAAGTGGAGAGAGAAGGGAGCAGCTGAAGAGGGAGATGAATTCTTCCAGGCCAGGCCTCCAGCGAGCGCCCCTTCCACTGGACCTGGCCCCTAACAGTACACTCAGCACTGAACTCCTCAGCTAGCGAGTCACTGTGAGCCCTGCACCCCCTGACCCAGCCACCCTCCCAAAGCTGCACCTCTGAACACGTGAGCCTCCTGGATCTAAGCCATAACAGAGATACACAGCAAAGACCTGGGCAGATGGGACGATAGGGCGACCTGTGTGTGTGACATGGGGTGGACAGGAAGCCAAGTGTGCATTGTGTGAAGAGAGGCGCTCTGGAGAAAACAGGCCAGGAAAGGGGGTGCTGCTGTGGAGAAGGGGGTCGGGCAGGCTGGAGAGAGGCCCCTGAGGGCCCACGTGACCCAGGACAGTCTCCTCCTAGCAGGGCGGGAGGGAGAGAGCCAGGGCCAGGACAGGCCGGGCACTTCCCCTCCAGATCCACAGACTGACTGACCTTCAGAAGGCCTGGGGGCTGACCAGTGAGGGAGAGGGGCTGGCGCCGGAGCTGGAGCTGGGTGGCAGAAGTGTCCAGAAGGGCAGCAGGTCTGCTGTTGGATTAGACAGAGTGGAAGAGAAGGGGCTGGGTGGTCCTTGCCTCCAATCGCAGCTACTTGGGAGGCTGAGGCAGGAGGATCACAAGTTTAAGCCCAACAACCCTGTCTCCTAATAACAATAACAATAATAATAGACTGGGGATGTAGCTCAGCACTCCCTGGGCTCAATCCCCAGCACTGGAAAAGGAAGGAAGAGGGGTGGGCAGGGGAAGGAAGGAAGCGGAAGGAGAGGTGTCAAGGGTGGCACAGGACTTTGGCCCAAGTGCCACCATGGAGAGTGGCAGTGTCTGCTGAAACGGGAGCCCTGTGAGGAGTCAAGAGTTCACATTTTGGACGAAGTACAGATGGCACAATGGAAAGCAAACAGTGAGATGGTGGCCTTAAACCACCCACACCCACAGTCACCCCCAAAAGGTAGAAATTAGCAGAATTTTTTAAAACCAAGAACTAACAATATGCTGCCTACAAGAAACCCACTTTTTAAAAAAGAGCACATAAACCAGACACAACCTGCTGGAAAATAAGGTAGGTACATTTTTTTTTTTTTGGTACCAGGGATCAAACTCAGGTCCTTGTGCTTGTGAGGCAGGTGGTGGAACCACCGAGCTAAATCCCCGGCCCAGTAGGTACATTCTTGAAGCCACAGGCATAGGCTGGGACTTTCTGAGCAGAGCCCAGCTGCACAGGAAATAGTTCTGAGAGTCAACAACTGGAATCACATCAAATTTAAAAAGCTGCACAGCAAAAGAAACAACCAACAGAGCGAAGAGACAACCCACAAAAGGGGAAAAAATTTTGCCAGTTACTCATTTTATCTACAATACATAAAGAACTAAAAAAATTAGACTCCCCAATAAAAGACCTAATCAAAAAACAGGCAAGCGAAAAGAATGGCACTTTTCAGAAGAATTACAAATGGCCAGTAGATATATGAAGGAATGCTCGGGCCAGGGATTTAGCTCATTGTTGCTGCGCCTGCCTTGAAAGCACAAGGTCCTGAGTTGGATCCCCAGTAGGAAGAAGGAAGGGGAGGGGGAGGTCCATAGCATTGGCCATTAGAGAAATTCAAATTAAAACAACACTGAGGTGGGCCGGGGATTTAGCTCAGTGGTTTCGCCACCTGCTGCGTGAGCGCAAGGACCTGAGTTGGTTCCCTGGTACCAAAACAAAAAAAAACCACTGAGATTCCCAGAAAGAATGGCTGTCATCAAGAAATCAAATAATAGCAAATGCTGGTGAGACTGCAGGGTAAAAGGACCCTTCTACACTGTTGGTTGGGAATGTAAACCAGTATAACCACTATGGGAAATCAGAGTGGAGATTCCTCAAAAAACTAAAAGTAGAAATTCCATTTGACCCAGCTATTCCCCTTCTAGGTGTCTTCCCAAAAGAGTTAGAGACATCATGTTACAGTGACCCAAGGACACGGTGTTTATAGCAGCACGACTCATCATAGCTAAATCTTGGAAGCAGTCTATAAGCTCATCAACGGATGAAGAAAATGTGGTATTTACAGACAATGGAGTACTACTCTGCCATAAAGAAGGATAGACGAGTCATTTGTAGGACAATGGGTGCATCTTGAGACTGGAATGTTGTGACACAAGTCAGACACACATGGCTGACTAAATATCACATGGCTTCTCTTATATAAGAAACCCAGAGTAAAAATAAAGACCAAATAAAAAACATGAAAGAAAGGAAGCAGGTCTTTCTCAGAGGGAAAGGGCTTCAAGAGGTGGAGGAGGAGGGAGGGAAGGGATAAGGACCACCAAGGAACGGAAACGTTATTTGCTACAAACACGGACCCAAAAAGGGAGAGGAGGAAGGGGTGGGGGGAGGGAAGGGAAGGAGGTGAAGAAGAAATGCCCGTAGGAAACATGTACTAATTAACATTTAAAAACCAATCCGTCGGTCAGTAAAAGGGCACAGACAGGTACCGGGAGTGGCCACACTACTATCATTGACAGCAAGTGCCTCCACGAGAAGTGGAGACAGTGACCTGCGGCCAAGCTCCAGCTTGCAGCGGTACAGCGGTTGAGGAGCCCGAGAGAGGAGAGAGCGTGCAAAGGCCCTGGGCTCGGCCCGCGGGAGGGGCGGGCGCGCTTGCGCACTGCGGCGGGGCGGCTGCGGCTCCCTCTGCCGCGGGCGGCTTCCCGAGACCTCGGCCCACCGGGAGGACTAGGCTCGTCCCTGCGCGCCGCCAGAGGGCGCCCGCGGGCTGCTCTGGCTCCGGCTACTCCTGCCCGCGGGCACGCGGTGGGTCGCCCCGACCCACGGCCCAGAGGAGAGGGCGGACCTGGGACGAGCTGTACCTGCCTGCGTCCTGCAGCCTCGCCCTCCACGACGCCCTGGCAGCCCCGTGATGCGCCCTGCCTTAAAGTGCCAAGGAGAGGCCAAATCCCTAATGTGCCCTCGACCCACGGCTGCCACTGCTCTGGCACCCACTCCCGGGGGGCAGGCACTGCTGCTCTGGGCCAGGTCCTGCTGGGGCCGAGAACCCTGAGCTCAGGAGACTGTTCTAGCCAGGCTGGGGTACTGTAATCCCAGCGCTCGGGAGGCTGAGGCAGGAGGATGTCCCTGAATTTGAAGCCAGCCTGAACTACACAGCGAGACCCTGTCTCCAAGAACCAGAGAGCGTGAGAGAGCGAGAGGTCCTGCGCCCGGAAGTGGGAATGAATCAGTCCCTAGGCGCAAATGGAGGAGATGAATGTGCCAACGGGGGGGGGGGCACAGGGCCTGCAGGGCTGGCTCAGCGGGGTTCCCTGAGGCCCCGCGCTGCCGAGGGTTGGAGAAGGAGCGGAAGGGGGTGCGCCTGGTGCCAACTTGGGCCACGGAACCTTTTAGAGGAGGAGAATGGACGCGATCTAGCGGAAAGCCCCGCTCCAGATCCCACCATTGGGAGGAGACCAGCGCGCGCGAGCGGGGCGGGAAGATTGTCTCTCTTTCCCCAGGGCCGCTCCGTGACGCGCCACCTGCGCGCCCCGAGCCTGCGCTGTGCTCCCTGGCCTGGCGCCAGGCAGCGGCCGCCGGGCCCCTCGGATGCTGACTCGGGCAGCCGGCTGGCGGTCTTTCCAGGTCCCTGCGGATTTCAGCCTCGGACAGTGCGGGGCCACTTCAGAGTTCACTGCCCCTGTCGCACTTCCAGTCCGTCCCTTCTCCTACCCCTAGAGGACGGATGCAGTGAGACCCTCAGCATCATGGGCGGAGTGCCGTGGGCGTTCGGCGCGAGCTCCTGGTGGTGCTATTTACTATTCTGATCACGCCCCAAACTCTCTGCAGTTGGTTTGTCTTCTTCTGGAAGATTATTTAGAACTGCTTGGTCATATTACGCAGGATGGACCGATGGAAGGCAGCAGGATGGATGGAGTATTAATCTGTTCGCCTTCACAAGGTCCTTAAAGATATTAACTGTCTAGGGCGGGGGATTTGGCTCAGTGGTTTCGCTGCCTGCTGCACAAACGCAAGGACCCGAGTTCGATCCCTGGTACCAAAAAACAAAATTATATAAGGACCAACTTCTTGATGTAATATATTGCCGGGGATTTAGCTCAGTGGTTTGGCCACCTGCTGTGCAAGTGCAAGGACCCGAGTTCAATCCCCGGTACCAGAAAAAAAAAAAAACCACAAAGATAGAAACCGTCTGATTCGTCTCCACTCTGCCAGTCCCTGGGGCCTGTCACCAAGCAATTATGCAAGGAATAAGCTTATTATAGGTTGGACAGCTTTCTGAAGATGATTTGGGAGAATCAAATCGGACCATTATCATTCTACCAATCAGGACTCAGTTCTGTGACGCTGCACTTTGATATTAAAAACTCTTTGGCTTCCTTCCCCCCACCCAAGGGCAGAGGCAAGCGAAAAGTGTGGACCTCGAAGACCAATCCCTACCCCTTGGAAGAAGCTGCGGTCTCTGAAACTGTGGGCGAGCTGGGCCCTGGCCTTTGTGTGCTCTCGGTGTGGGGAGCAAGGCGCGGCCGGAACCCCCAGAGCTCAGGGCCCAGGCAGAGCCAGGTCCGGGTACCCGAGGGCATCGTGTTGGAGCGGGTGCCCTGGGGAGGGCCTCTGCCTTGGTCCTCGTCCTCTGAGGAAGTCCTCACCCGCCTCCGTGTGTATCTCATAACAGAGCTACGAAGCCTGCATTTCTGCACCTTCTAAAACTTTCTCATTCATTCGCTCCACGACGGCATGCAGGTCATGTGCTAAGAACAGCACCAGGCACAAGCTCAGAGCGCACAATGTCAGCTCCAGTCCACACAGCATTCGTTCACTGTTCATGGAATTCTCGCGAACGCACAAGACCGACTCGGCCCTGACCCGCCAGCTGTCAACCCCAGCCAAGCCGGGCCCCAAAGGGCCAGAACGTGGGCCCCGCCCAGATCCTGGACTACAAGTCCCAGCCGGCCGTGCGGCAAGCCGCCTCGCACATGCGCGACGTCGAGACGCCGGGCGAGAGCGGGCGCCGGTGGTGCGGCCAGCGGGCGGCGGCTGCCTTTAGGGCGGGGTCGGCTCCGGGCGCTGCAGTCTGTCGTGGGCAGCGGACGGCGCGGCTCGGCGCCCGTCCCTCTCCCTCCCTTTCTCTAGCTCACTCGCTCCGGTCTCGCGGTCGCGGCCGCCTGCTCAGCGCTCCAGCGGTCCCGGGCGCGGCGCCATGTCGGAGCCCGGCGGCGGCGGCGAGGACGGCTCGGCCGGCCTGGAGGTGTCGGCCGTGCAGAACGTGGCGGACGTGGCCGTGCTGCAGAAGCACTTGCGCAAGCTGGTGCCGCTGCTGCTGGAGGACGGCGGCGAGGCGCCCGCCGCGCTCGAGGCGGCGCTGGAGGAGAAGAGCGCGCTGGAGCAGATGCGCAAGTTCCTGGCCGACCCGCAGGTGCACACGGTGCTGGTGGAGCGCTCCACCCTCAAAGGTGCGGGCCGCGCCGCCTCCGCGAACAGCGCGGTTGCTTTGTCTCTGGCCGTCAAGATGGCCGAGCTGGGTGGGGACGCCGGCCCCGGGGCGGGTGAGCGCAGGCGGAGGCCGTGTCCCTGCTCCCTCATCACATGGGCTCTGGGTTTCGATTCTCGCCCAGGCCGGGGATGTGGCGGGGCCGGCGCGGGCGTGGGCGTCGCGCTGCCGGGGCCGCTCGGGTCCTCCTGGGGCGGGCGGAGGCAGCGGGAGTCTCGCGGGCCCTGGCTCCCTGACCCGGGGCTGAGGCGGCGGGATGACCCGGCCGCAGGCGCCGGGAGCATCGCCGCGGGAACCCGGGTGCTCACACCTAGGTCTCCTCTGGGGCTCGCGGCCTCCCTGTATCACCCGCGAGGAAGCCTGGTCTGCGGCCCGGTGCCTGGCCAAGGTCACTGGCTAACCTAACGTCCGTTTCCAGTGTGTGCCTGTTTTCCTGATCATGCCTAGTCAGCAGCGCTTGGATGGCCCTCGCGGTAACCCTGTATTACTGATGTTAGATTGAAAGCTGGATAGGGCACTTAGTGGGGGCAGGAGGCCAAAGGTTTGCGTCTGACAGCTGTCTCCCCAAATAGTGACCCCTAAAAAAGCATACGGAATCACCTGCAGCCCGGCGGCTCGCAGGGTTTCTCTTGCTTCTTTAAAATGGCTTTGCAGTTGGAGAGCCCGGGAAAGGGTGTGGCTCCGGCCATGTGGGGAGCCATGGGTGACAGCCAAGGCGTTTGTCAGGGTAGCACTTAGGATGGGAGGTTGTCTGGAAATGCCTGCGACAGATGTCATCCACACCGGATAGCTATACGGTTGGCCTGTCCGGAAGGGGACACACTCCATCGCCCCACCCCAGCACGCCCTCCGTTCCTCCTGAGAGTGTTTCTTTCAGAGGCCATTCCACTCAGATGTTTCATTGTAGCCTTGCTTTCAGCCAGAGGTTGACAGTGTAAAGAAATATTTTTCTTAGATCTGCGTGGATGTTCAAATAAACCATTGTAGCATAATTTACATTGCTAATGTTCAGGATTACTGATGGTGTTTGGGATTAAGTATTTCTTCATGGAAATCTCTAGTGTTAAAATTGGCTCATCTACTCTTATCAAAAAACATGTTTAGGTGTAGAAAATTTGAAGTATACACACGAGATCACTCACTTAGAATCCTTTCACTGTCCGCATTTTGATCCCTGTCTGACATTTTTATTGCTGATATTTTTTAAATTTGGGGGGTTACTGGGGATCGAACTCAGTACCTTGCGCTTTCGAGGCAGGCGGCAGAACCACTGAGCTAAATTCCAGGCCCTAAAATAAATTTTAATCTGCATCGTAAAGTTACATTTTGAGTAGCTTGACCATGCTTAATTCCTTATCGTATTTATATTGCATAACTTACGTGGTAGGATCAGTTTTTTTGTTTTGCCTTAGGTCGTGATATTTTTATGAAAAAAAATTGTTAAGTTTTGCTGTTTGCTTCTAGAGCGATCCTCAATAATTCACTTTTCTTAAACATCTTACAATTAAACTTTGCTAAAATTATTGCGCATGAGGGATCATCCATGTGTAGAGTGCTTCTTCCTTTCAGCAGTGACTGCCCAGGTGTCCAAATCTTGGCTCCACAGTGACTTGCACTTGTGAAAGTTGATTAAGGCGTGAGACTAAGATCAAAATCCTGCCTCACTTTTGTGCTTATAACAGTCCTTGACATATTTCTAACCATTCAACCTATCTTTAATTTATTTTTCACTTAGAATAATCCAAGAAAAGATTTAAAAGTTAATCTAAATTTGTGCCATGTAGGTTTTTGGGGGGGCTTTTTGGTACCAGGGATCGAACTCGGGACCTTGTGCTTGTGAGGCAGGCGGCAAAACCACTGAGCTAAACCCCTGGCCTTGTGCCATGTGTTTTCATTGATCTTGTCAGCATCCTGGCTACACAAGGTCAGTGTTATTTTTGGCCCTTGGGGTTTGAGCACAAGGCCTTGCCCCCCTCATCGCCCACTGAGGACAGTTAGGGGGTGGCTTTCATCTGAGTTAGTGGCATTTGCACCTTTAGTCAGTTCTGCCTGTCCAGTGGTGGACTACGTGAAGAAGCTTGCATTAAGAGAGAATAAACCTGAATTATTTAA